CCTGGTCAACGGTCACGTGATCTTCAGAGATAGAAGACATGTTCTTTACGGGGGTTGGATGACTCTGTGATATTCAGAGAGTCGTTGGCTATGTGTCCTCGACAGGTATATGGGGAAGACGTCCTCGACGCGAACGGGGAAGAGACATTCCTCAACGGTCACAACTATCTGGGCCACTTTGTTGGGCCTTCCTCGCAGCAGCGTTGGAATGGTCCTGCCCGATGGAGGATCAAGTGCAGGTCCAGTCCATAATAGATTGCCGGGTCTTCCTCGCTGCATAGTTGGGTTGGGTCTTGCTCAACGGCATATCAAGCACATGCCCAGTCTAGAATATACATTAATAGCATATAACGATAAAATACCTACAAATGTGACAAAGTCTACCAATATGACGAAATTGAAATGCTCTGAATACCATGTCTCTGAGTCAACAGTGTTGACAACATCAAAGTCATTGATTGAATATGCACTTAGGCAAAATTAATTTATCAATCTGAATCGAACAAACACTACACTAAGACGGAAAAACAAAATAACACCGCAATAAGATGATGATCAACACAACGTTGCACTAAGACGACTAAATCACAAAGAAAAAAAATAAAAATATACGTGAAATCACTTATTTGAATTTAAAAAAAGAAAAATGAATTTAGAGGGAGTGATTTTAGATCAAAATTTGATCCTAAAATCATCCCTCTTTAGTGGATGAAGAAAAAAAACTAAAGTTGAAAAAAAAAAGAGACGGCCGAAGAATAGTTATAACTTGATTATGTCTTAAAAAAATGTGAATTTGAAAAGTTGAAACTCCGTCAGGATAGTTTCTCATAGAAGATGAAGAAGTAATCGACGGATTTAAGGGGATGATTCTCCTCTTCACTCGACTGTTCTGGTTGAAAAATTTAGAATTGGTGTTGGAAATCATCTTCTAGAATCAAGGTGAACAAGAATTGAAGGAATTGTTTTCAATAAAAAATAACTCAAGTAAAACTGCTTTGTATATTGCCGCTGAAAATGGTCATCTTAATATAGTGAAGGAATTGATCAAATATCATGATACTCTTTTATTTTTCAAAACCAAAATAGATGCAAGCACATAAATATAGAATTGATTATTCTAAACTCAAAAACTAGGAATTATAACTTCTACTAGAATTGTTTTTGAAGGAGTGGAATTGATTTTGAAAAAATATTTAAACAAAAAATAAAACCAATTTTTAAATTGAAGTAGATTAGAAGTGCTTTTGAGACTCGTAGAAATTAATCCAATCATACACATAATCTATGTTAATCTTAGATCAAATCTTATATTATTTTAAGAGCCATGATAACAAATGTAATAAGAAAATTGGTTTGAAAACTCATAGAATAAATTGTATTGAAAAAACAAATATAATGTAAATTGACACTGAATTTTGACACTACAACGTAAAAATTACAGTGTTTTAGCTTTATTTAATATTTATTGGTGTCTTGAAATATGTGCATGTAGATAATTTGTATACAATACACACATTATGTGCTATGGTGTAGGATACATGTGTAAGATCTGGTGTCATTATAACATTGCTCTTATAGAAATTCATTTAGGCCTAGGTTAGGCTTATGACTATTTTTTTATAAGATTAGATTTAGGTCTTCTAAAGCATAGATCAGTCCAATTTATTTTTGCACCTATTTTGTTAAGAGCCAGTATTGATTTCCTAAGGATCCTTTCCCTAGTAACCCATATACAAAAATACTTAATATTTTTTGTTAAAGAAGTTCTATGATATATTAAGAGACAAAGACTTGATACAAAGTGATAAAATAATAAGGATGTTATAAATATATTTCCTTTACAAGTACACGAGTCACACTATTTACTTGTTGTCTATGATACTAGAGTTAAGAAAAGAGGACAGAATATAAGAGACCGTCACTAATAATCATCACAAAGTATGAGATATTAAATTTAGGGTGATAGAGCACTCAGCTCTTTCAAAACCAACTTAAAAAATACAGTTAGAAAAGTATAGTTTCATCATAAAATGAATGAAAAACCTTTAAAATTCCCAAGGACAATCCACAAAGGACGCAAAGGGGCAACACAACTCACACCCTTGATTTTAAGTGGGTTCTTCTTGTAAGAGAATTATGACAAGCACACTGCAAAAACATCATAACATCCACATCATTTGCTTTCACTGAATAAGAAGCCGCAACCTCAAGATACATAATTTGTTTAGCTAACATGAACTAAACTCCATTCACCATATTGTGAACCAGAATTGCACTCTGAATTGGTGCTAGAGTTGCTGTTAATTAAACATAAAGTATAAACATAGTTCACTTAACCATATAAGATATTTAAACAACACGGATATGCTAATCACATTTTCATATATGAATGTAATAAACTATTTAAAATATGGACTTCAGTTCAGAAATTTGACCCATGTTTCACCCAACCTAGACCCCCACAAGAAGTTGCTGAATTCATCGAAACACCCCTCAAACCGACAAATGCAACGAGTCTGTGACTATAAAACTATACTAGTTACCAGTAAAAAGATGCAATAAAAGGTAATATGAATTGATCGCCATCGCCAATGACCAAATTTCCAAAATTATTTGTCAGCGGAGAAGAATCCTTATCCAGATGTGGGCTGTTTCCAAGAGCACGAAATTCAACTCAGGGCTCCCTTGACAAATCAATCATCAATCCAATCGCCATAAATATGGGTAATCTTGTTTAACTTCTTCCAAAGTAATTCCTTCTTGGCCTTCTTCTCCTCTTCCGTCGCTGCAGGTCCATTTGCTGGTAAGGTAGTAGGTGCATAATTGGCAGAAGAAGTTGCTGGTAAAGTTGGAATAACAACTTTTGTTGAATTTGTTATGGCAACTGCAGCTTCAACTTCAATGCCTCCACCGGGAACTGGTAACTCTGAATAACAAAACAACCGGTACTCAATGAGTCAGAAGAAGATACAAGGATAATCATCTTTTAATTTTTATTCACAGAATGCATATACAAGTTATTACACGAAAAACTGATTAGATATAATAAAAAACGTCTATGACCACGATTGTGGCGAAGACGTTAAGGTTTTTGATGTCTCCACCAACATCACAATTGCAACTGCGTTGACCATATTTAACTGCAATATTTAGGATTGCAACATAGTTGCATTTAAAAACTTGCAAAAGAGCAATGTACTGACTCAAAATTATTGACGAGTCGCACATCAAATTTATAGGCTTGGAAAAAAAGAATATAATATAACTCCCGGTTATTTAGATCAGAATTGCATGCAAAGGCCATGTCTCAATCATTTATGATATTATTGATAGATAAAAGCAGTCAAGTAGTTCTAGTCCCGTGATCCTACTGCATAGCAAAATTCGCTATTTAACTAGCCTGATATGCGAGCCTTAGATAAAGCAGTGCTATCAATAGCAGATGGCAGGTTGCAGCAACCAGCCAAAAATTAGCCATATAAACATGGTTTTGTGCCCTATGGCGGTGGCACGAAACCCCTCGCGCCATAGCGCCACAATGACGGAAATTTGACGACATGGCAAAAAAAAAAGTAACCACTAATCATACAGATAAGTGTCCATTACTTGTAAACTAAAGCAGCGTCTGTTGTATAATCAAAATACCAAATGATCAGCTAGAACCAGGTTTTCCTATAAGCAAAGGTGTAATGGGGTTCCATTTAATATGATCAACTACTTAAGGAAGACACTTTTTGTGGAGACAAGGAAAAGGAGCAACAAGTAGGAGGGTCAAGTTTATGCCAAACCAAACATACATTCAAACACTGTAATTTTTACATCAGATCACAGAAAATGTGCTTCTGCATACCATCATGAAAATAAAAAATAAAAACAGATTTATATAATTGAACAAAACAAATCAGTGGGATTATTATATGATAAAAAACCAAAATGAATGTTATTACCTGCATCTCCATGAGCAAAGTGACATTTATCACCAAAGGGACAGATCCCGGTATTCATCCACTTGAGACATATCTTAGTATTCCAATTAGTTCCCCTTGCTGGCTTAGTCCCAGCCCTATTGCCTTCCAAATGATTACAAGTTCCAATGCTGATGGCAGAGCTGATGTCAGAGGACTCTCTTGTATTCCAAGAGTCGTCCCTAAACTTAGCAGGATCCTGATGAAGAAAGTTACAGTTATCACCATAAGGACATTCCTGACCATTGTAATACCTCTTGCAGAGCTTCATCTTGTGAATGATTTTCTGATCATCATTCGAATTCCCTTCCTGGGTACGGAGACCTACGAGGTCCTGCCAGTTTGGTGGTGGCTGCCTTATCTCATGAGGCCCATGAGCAAAGGTACAATTTTCACCGTTTCTACAGGTACCAAAGCCAAACCTAGTACAAATACGGGTCTTGAAGAAAATGTTGCCTGTTGGTCTGTTTGGTGGAGGGCCCATCACTGTATTGGAATGGTTGTTGTCAGACATTCTTGGCCTTTTGAAGGAATGGGAACGATCCAATGCTGAATGTGGTTCAAAGCGTTGATCGTGTTTAAAGGGTTGATTGTGTTCAGAGGGTTGGTTGGTCATGGGGAATTGAGGGCTCACCTGAATGATATCGCTGGTGGTGGATGATGAGAATTGCGGTGGTGGCATCTTAAACGTTGGAATGTTATTTGAATAAGGCATGGTTGGCTATTAATAAAATAGAGTTTTTGATTTGATTATCGTTGATGAATGAGATCAAGGTTCAGAGAACTTGTATGAAGAACGAAATAGTGGCATGCAAATGCAATGTTGATGAAATAATGAAAAACAAGAAACGATATAGAGAGAAAATATAATGGGATGATCAGGGTTTGGTGAATATATATTAGGGCGCAGTTTGAGGGTTTAAGGTATTTTGTTGCGTTAATATCGTGAAAACCCTAGTTGGTGCCACAGTCCTAATGGACTAATCAGTAATTAAGTAATCAGTTATGTTTAATTAAGTTTAAAATTATAAATAGTTAATTGGTATAAGAAGATAAGAAAGTTACATGAGCAGCAATAAGCAAGAGTTGGATTGGTTTGAAACGGATGATGGGCACCAATACCATGAGAGTTGGGAGCTCCACGAAACGCAATTGGACGTCGGTGTTGGTAGCCAATTGAGGTAACTTAGCACAAACATGGATTGCCCCATCAAACGGCGTCCTCCATAAACGACTCTCCTCCATATCCTCCTGATTCTAGTAATGCTTTAATATTTGAGATTTGGGGGTTACTTACTATTTTTTGTGCCCATGCTAGAGGTGAAATTCAATATGAGTGAACTATGGAAAAAACCATCATAGCAATTTTGAAAGACCCAGCCAAACAAACACATAACAACTCAAACGACTCAACCGTGGGAGAGGCTAAAGGCCTTCCATTTATGAAAGGAAGTACCTTGAAATTCGGGGAAGGAGAAGAGTGAACGTTTTTGTAGAATTCTGGCGTTAAGGGAATCGAGTGCTGTGGAGGTTGAAAGTGAGTCACCGGGAATTGAGTATAGTGAGTTTCCGGTGAAGGCATGAAAGTGTAAGTTTATGGACATAGTGGTTTTTTTGGTGTGAGAAACAGTTTGAGAAAAAGGACGGTAGAGGATCAAAAAGTTCAACGTTATGTGAATTTTTTTCCCAATGACACACCCTGAAATATAATTAGTAAGATGTCACATTTGAAAAAATATTTTTAAAATGTCACGTCAGAAATCTTATGCGATTTAAAATGGGGGGAGGGTTCCACCCAATACACACTCATAAAATTTGCGTCATTTTAAATGATGTGAACGTATATAATATTTCAATTTTTATATTAATTTTAAATAAAGTTTATTATTTAATTTTATTAATTAATTAAAAATAGTTTAAAAAACAATTTAAATATATAATTAATTAATAAAATACTAATTAAACAATTTAAATAATTATAAATAAATAATTAAAATGATAATAAGTGAATATAAATATATAATTAAATAAAGATTATTATTACATGATTTAGTGTTGATGACCCTGACCTAAAGGAGTACATGTCAAACAATAACGCGTTTGAGGAGCACGATGATTAAAATCAATTGTTGTGTTTATTAGGTCTCTGTTGTTGGAGGATTTTCTTGTGTTGGAGTTGTAGGTTGTGAAGGAGATCAAATAGTTTCTATTAACTCATAATCATGTTAATATCCTCGCCAAAATTGTATTGGGTTTGTTGTGGCTGACACATGGTATAAACATAAGGCGTTGTGGGTGGTTGTATGTTAGATGTAGGGTTATGTTGAGAGGAGGGGGAATCAAAGTTTGGTCGCGGGATAGGTGTGAATTGCATAATTGATCGATTGTTCGATTGTATATTTATGGTTGTTGGGTTTCATAGATGTAATTTGATGGGGAGTGAGATTGCGGGTATTGGATGTTAAGGTTTATTATTGGTAAAAATAAGGGGTACGAGTTTATAGTTGACAAAAATGAGGTTAGAAGTTTTATGTTCAGAATAATGGGGATGAGAGTTTGTTGTTTGGAATAGTGGGGGATAGGTGTTTGTTGTTGGAAGGGTTGTGAATGAGGAGTTTGAGAATGATGTGAGTGATGAGGTTGTTGTTGGAAGGATTGTGGAATTTGTTGAGAGTCATTGAGTCGGGGCATACTGATTTTGACGGAGCATACTGATTTTGACGAGGGTCAGTGAGAAATTGTTCATATGATGCATATCTATATGGAAGTGAGTGATACCATTGTATATACTCATAGGGCGATTTCTCCTTCATTTGTAATTGATCTCCGTCCAACGTAAACATTTCCCGATGCAACCAACAATTGTTCTGCGAGGCATTGAGGTTCTTCAGCTATCCCTTGTAAATGGCCAAATTGTAGTTTGACCCTATCAGCTTGATGCATTTCTACCATATAAAAACACATTATATATGTTGTTGAACTTCATATCAAGCTGTCCTCGTGCCTTTATGACGCTAATGCAAGATACGACCTCCAAATAAGTTATAGATAAGACTTGTTAGTGTAACCAAAATAAAATTCATAAATATATATGAAGTAATAAGTGAAGACTAAAAAACCTGATCTGGAAGCATATGATCAATCTTGAATCGGTATCATTGTAGATGGTGGCGCAGGTTATTTTGGTAGTCAAGTTTCTTGATTCACCACCTAAAATAAATTAAAAAATAAATTTTATTTTAAAGAATTTTAACATTTTTAATTACAAATTAAAATTAAAATATTATCTTCTTGCGTAAGGATATGGTGCTTGAAGCGGAGCTACCGAAGATATAATAGACATGCGTGTAAAAGCCCAAGCTTGGAGAAGTAAAACGCACCCTGACATCTTTGTAATTTTGATGGAAGCCCAACTAAATTTTCCATAATCTTCCAAATCCACAAAGAATTATGTCCATTTGGAGTGGATATTATTACCGCTTTTGTTAGGGAATAAAACTTGCTCAATGATTAATAGGATATAAATACGAGCATGCTTAATTTTATACTCTTCGGATGATTCCTCAGGTGGTGGTTCATGTTGGTACGTATCTTTAAGCCATGTTAACCTCGCAGTCATTCCTTTATCAGTTTGTGGTGGTTCATCCCCTAAAATAGAACTTCATGCACTTACACCTAGCTCGCTCTGTTGGACCATTTACAGTTTTACCATCTATAAGAAGCCCCAATAACATACTCACATCTTCTAACGTAATTGTGCATTCACCGTTTGAAAGATGAAATGTATGAGTTTCGGGTCTCCACCGTTTTAGTAATGCTATAATTAATCTTGAATCGATGTGGGTGAAACCTATTGTAGATACATGGTAGAAACTAGAAAGATGTAGATAAGGGATTATAACTGCATGTGACTTAAGAGGTTTGTGAGCTCGAGTTCTCCATTTTGAAACATAAGTATCATCAATCTATAATAAAAATAAATAATATTAAAAAATATTCAACATTAATATGCAACAAAACTCAAAATTAATATTAATAATATTGAAAGAAAAATAATAATTAATATTAATAATATTGAAAGAACAAAAAAAACTAAAGAATAATGTGAAAATGAAGAATAAATTGAACTAATTATCAGAAGAGAGTAGAGAGTGTATAGTGAATAGAATGAAGTGTGTTTGTAAAAAAAATGAGATGAGAGTGACTGAGTATTTATAGGAAAAAATGAGAGTGATGAGAGTTAGTTGATAGTTGAATAATTTAATTAGATATTGTGATACAGTGGGAGAACTGACTTGGGTGTTTTGCGTTTGATCGCAAATATTGCGGTTAGCAAGAGTCGCCACCGACTTTTCTTTTATCCAAATGGAAAGGTGAAAAAGCACAGTAAAGACCTTTGAGATTATTTCTTGAGTTGGGGGGTAGATTATGAAAAGGGAAGGTATTAGCACCCTTTTCATCCATGGTTTTCCATGGGCTCTTAGTTACTTGCTATATCACTTGCTTTTGTTTGAAATTGTGCTTTGTGTGGTTTTTGAAAGTATTTTGTAAAGAGGTCATTGTTTAGGCAAACTTTGTAACGATTCTCGTTCGTAAGAATGTATACAAAGATGTTGATCTTTTGAAATTTTTTTCAAATTTGTAAGATGTTTTGAAAGTGTAGGTGTTTGTTTTGAAAATAGCGAGGATGTTTGTTTTGAAATTGAGCAAGTAATTATGAGCATTCTACCTACTTAAAAGTGTTTCATGTTCATTTCCTTTTCCTTTGACATTGTTATCTTACCGTTGATTTGGTAAGTAACCCTATCTTTGGATGCAAACGGGACGGTCGTGGGTCATCGTATAACCACTATTAGCAATGTTGCAAGGTATCTTAGCATTTTCTCTTAGGGACTAAGATCATTTGAAAGGTAATATGGATAGCGTCATCGAGGGACTATGATCTTATATTTTGCTTGTTTTTTGCTAAGATACCTCACATGCGTAATATGGCCACTTTGTAAGGCAACCAAGTGGATTTATCCTAGGGGTGCTTGTGTGCAAGTGTATTTTTTCATGTTTCATTTTGTCTTTGATTAGGGTTTTCTAAGCATTGGTTTTATTCTTTCCATACAAATCCTAATTACTAACATTTGTATATAAAGCGATAAATTGCGGAATTAAAAATTACTACGCTATTACAATACTTATGGGAGGGGGTGTACAAATTATAAATGGGGATTGCAAGAAAATAAAGTCTAATTATCTATTACAACCATATTGAATTTATACAAGAATTGAAATAAATAATGTACAAAATGAATAAATGTATAAGGATGTAAGTGTAAAGAAAATTGATATTTTTGTTTGGATTTTTTAGGAAAAGGGATTTTGTTTTAACCTAATTAATTAAAAGAAAATAAATAATTAAAATAATAAAAAGCAAACCATAAATTTACTAGGAAAATAAATCAAATAAAACCCTAATCTAAATATTAATTAAAAAGGAAATTAAGTTCTTGAGAAGAATATTTTTTGTTATTTTTTGTCTTAAAAAATAATTTATAGCATTATAAAATATTTTTGGTCTTTTATATTTTAAAATAAAATATTTAGAATGGTGTAAAAGGAAATAACTAAAACCCTATTTTTCAATTAAATTTACAAGAATAATTAGTAAAATAAATAAAGTATGATTAAATAAAATATATTTTTTGTGAGAAAAAATAAATAAACTAAGTCAAAATATAAATCTACTATTTTTATATTTTTTATGATTTATTAATATAAGATAAAATATTTAAGAAAATAAATAAATAAAGAATAAGAAAAAGAAATAAAAATGGGCCAGGGGCTGTGTAAGTGAAACAGGGGGTTAGAGGTAAGAAAAAAATCATAAGGCCCAAAGGGAGGCCCAGCGCCTGTAAAAAAAAAGTCTGAATGTGTAAAAAATATGAAAAATCCAAAAGGGTACCACTGGGACTCGAACCCAAGTCCCTCTGGTTACAGGCGCGCGCTTCTACCACTGGGTGGCTATACATCCGTTTATATAAATCAAAGCATAAATATATATGGCAAACATGTTACTGAGGCCAACTCTATCTTCAACCTCACGCCCAGCCAGAGCCTCTATAACTTGTTCAAATCTCAACAAAAATGAAAACTGTAAATAAGAAACTTGTAGCAAATTTCCTCACGGTTTCAGAAATACAAAGCAATAAAATTATAGATCAAAGATAAGCATGAATTTTAATGGCCCTAATCTGAACCCTAAAAATCTCAGAAACTTCAATCTTAAAATTCTCTAAGTTCAAGCAAAATTAATGAAAACTATGGACATGGTTAGCTTTAGGGCAACGATATCTACATTTTTCATTCAAAAATAAATCATTGATGATGCATGTATGAAAAGTTCCAAAGTTAGAAAACTTACCTTGCAAGAGGGTATCGGGTTTGGAGTTTGAGAAGCTTTCAGTGATTTTCAATGATTGGGTTAGCTTCCTCAAGTTCCCAGGAAGCTAATGGGATGATTAGCTTGAGCTGAAAGTACCCGAGGAGTTCTGGAGAAGTCCAAGTGCAAAGCTCTATTTTTGAAAATGGAGG